CAATCAGAGCCCATCGCCTATTTCTGAGGGAGGGGCTTCATAAAAGAAGGAAATGATCAGCACGTTTCTCAGAGAAGGGACAGAGCGGTGTTGAATAAAGGTAAATTATGTGAAAAATAATGCGTTTTTTAAAAAAACGAAGCATTAACACATGTTAGACTGCACCCCATAAACACAATCAAGCCTAGAAAAAAAACCAGTGAACCACCCCTTTAAAGTATAATTCAGTAGTATAATTTACAAGAACTCTGTGCCTCCGGTAATTTAAACATCACAAAACATAAGGTTCAAAAAGGTGAAATGTCGTGAAATATTACTGGAGCTGATTCAACTGAAAGCAGCACACAGAACAATCAGTCTAGCCAAAGAATAGCCTGTTGACCGTTATTGATAAAGTCTAATCACCAAAAGTGCTGTTTTTTAATTTTTTTTTACCATGACAGTGGAAATACAATCATGCATGTGTGTGCACATCTCACTTGTTAAGCAGCAATTCACTGGCAGTAAGTGCTCTGGTCTCTTTACTGAGCATTCTGGGCTCTTGAAACTCCTCATTTTTGGTGTTGTACAGATTATTCATTTCTGGAAATTCTGGAAGCACAAAGTTTGGTGTATTTTCTTCATTGGTGCATCCCTCTTTCACCTTTTCAAATCTATCAACATGATCTTTCAGCACTTTATTTTCCTCAGGATCTCTGAAGAAAAAAATTAACAATGAAAATTTGGGTGTGTGCTATTAAAAACTGTTCTTATATATTTGTTAAAAGTATAAGAAGCAAGAATTAAACAAGGCACAAGAAGTGGCAATTGTTTTGTGTTGGTGAGAAAATAATAATAAATGATCTTTACTCTGTCATGACATCTCTATTTTGGCAGCACTGGGCAACATCAACTTCAGTAAGGTCCAAGGCATCCAAGTCATCTTGAGTTGACTGGCGTGTTATTAGAAGCGTGTCATCAGTCTGGCAGCTGAAAAACACATTCAAAGGTAAATTAAACATTAAACAGTGTTAGCAAAACATTTTATTTTCATAATATTGCAAATTTCAGAGTAAAACAGGATATGCAGCAAAATATATAATTCTTAATAATGCCTTATAAAATCCTTGTATTGTCTATAAATAAATAATCATACCAACAGTTATAATACATTATAATACTTACAGATATGTGGTTATTGAACAGTATGTTTACTTTTGACACGTGATGAAGACCTCGTTACAATTATTAATTATTCAAGTTTTTTAAAGCATTAGGCATGTATTATAATGCATTAAGAATGCCCTTATAATGCATTAGAAACAGGCTTTACAGAAAGTTTTCCCTTTTTTCCCTTTTTCTTCTTTACATGAATTGCACAGATTTATTAGTGTGAAATTCAAGTCTTTCAGCACTTTCAATCTGTGGAATTCTGGGCTTCTCAAGGGTGAGGGATTTCTTTAATAATAATGATTAAATTAATTCTAAAATTACTTTGCAACCAATGCAGGAGCAAGACGGAGCGAGAATCCACATGCTTAATACAAGTTTAATTGGAAACACCAACACAGATAATCCAAACCTGGAACAAGGGTACAATCCACGTATGGAGTTGGATTCGGTCGAACAGACAGCACGCCTCACAGAGGAACGTGCGCGGTCAGTGCTGAACTGCTTGAATTCGTTTAAGGGCAGGACAGCGGCCCCACTGAAACTATTTCAGAGGCTCCTGGGCCATATGGCAGCTGCAGCTACGCCGCTGGGGCTGCTTCATATGAGACCACTCCAGCACTGGCTTCATGGCCGAGTCCCGAGTTGGGCGTGGCAGCGTGGCACTCACCGGGTCCAAGTTACACCGGCCTGTCGCCAAACCTTCACCCCGTGGTAAGACCTTACATTCCTCCGGGTAGGAGTGCCCCTAGAACAGGTGTTGTCCCTTATGCTGTGGTTTACACGGATGCCTACACCACCGGCTGGGGGGCCACGTACAACAGGCACACTGTGTCGGTGGTATGGACGGGCCCCCAACTGCACTGGCATATCAATTGCCTAGAGTTGTTAGCAGTGCGCCTTGCCTTGAACCGTCTCAAAGGGTGCTTACGAGCCAAGTACATGCTGGTCCGAACAGACAACACGGCGACCGTTGCGTACATCAAACGACAAGGTGGTCTGCGCTCCCTTTGCATGTCGCAACTTGCCCGCCACCTCCTCCTTTGGAGTCAGAAGGTTCTGAGGTCACTTCGTGCCATTCACATTCCGGGTCTGCTCAACCGTACGGCCGACGAGCTGTCACGAGCTACGCTCCTGGGAGAATGAAGATTCCATCCCCAGACGGTCCAGCTGTTTTGGAGACGTTCGGATCTGCTCAGGTAGACTCTCCAGAAACCTCTCACTGCCAGTTGTTCTACTCCCTGACCGAGGGAACACTCGGCCAGGCACGGACGCACTGGCACACAGCTGGCAGCTCCATCAAGAGGGTAGGGGACCTGCACGCATTTTCGGTCGACGATTCGTACCTAGAGTTTGGGCTGGCTGACTCCCAGGTAATCCTGAAGCCCCGGCCCGGCTATGTGCCCAAGGTTCCCACTACTCCCTTCAGGGGTCAGATGATGAGCCTGCAAGCGCTGCCCCCGGAGGAGGCAGACCCAGCCCTAGCTTTGCTCTGTCCCGTCCGAGCCTTGAGATGCTACGTAGACTGGACACAAAGCTTTAGGACCTCAGACCAGCTCTTTGTCTGTTATGGAGGCCGGCAGAAGGGGAATGCCGTCTCTAAGCAGAGGATGGCCCACTGGATTGTGGATGCCATCACCCTGGCTTATCAGGCACAGGGTGTGCCCTGCCCGCTCAGGTTGCGAGCTCACTCTATCTACTAGGAGTGTTGCATCCTCCTGGGCGCTGGCTCGTGTCGCCTCGCTGACAGATATTTGTAGAGCTGCGGGCTGGGCGACCCCCAACACGTTCGCTAGGTTCTATAGTCTTCATGTGGAGCCGGTATCCTCCTGTGTTTTCACCTTAAACGGGTAGAGGCGCTGAGAGGCCCCAGTTTAGTGTCGGCTTGCTAAAACTGCTCCACAGTATCCGTGCTGTAGGCCCTGTCGAGCTCCTCCGTCCCCTCAGCAGCCAGACGTGGCGGAACAACCGGGGCCAGGCCCTCACTCGTTGAATCTGTGAGAACCGGTAGAGGGCTGGATTCCATATGTAGAGGCCTAAGTGGTTCCCATATGTGTAAAGTTCACGGTATAGCCTCAGAGCCCGTGTTTCCCCGGCAGACTTCTGCCATTTACATGAGGGTTACAATCACCTCTAATCTTCCATATGCACCTAAACGGATGTCACATGTGTAAGTGCTTCCGAAACCTACTTTGGGAAGGATGGGGCTTCCGCAACGGTCCTGTTCCAAGTGGAACGGGTACGTTTTCCCAGTGTTATCCAATCTCACTGAGTGGGTAGTGCTATGACAACAGTGACTGGTCTTCTTGTTGCGAGCCCCGGCCTACACCACAAAGGGGCGCAGGCGGCTCGCACAGGACACTGGAAGGGGCAGCATCCATGGCACTTTTGTAGGGATCCCAATTCGTCGGTCACCGACGTGACTCGGATTGACCGACTGAAAGGGAACGTCTCGGTTACGTATGTAACCCGGGACGTCACGTCCCGTCGCCACGGCTGCCGTACCACCACTGAGCAGCCGGGTCACCGGCTCGGCTCCTCCGAGAAAACCTGGTATGCGTTGCACCGGCTGCCTTTTTATGCTCACGCTGTGATCAGCGGCAGCTGGATGCAATCATCTCATGCCAATGTGCATTGGCTCGTTTAGTTTACACTCGAAGTGGATTGGTTTCTCTAAGTGAGATCGCAATTCGTCGGTCACCGTCGTGATGTCTCCGTTTCCTCCTTCAAGGAACGAGGGTTATATACGTAACCGAGACGTTTTTCTCCACCAGGTGGCACAAGTCTGCCACCATTCAATGGATATTGAGTACTTTTGCTCAATTTTTTTTACTAAAATATTGCACAAATAAAAAAAGATATTTTTTTCTTTTTAATTATATAAATAAATAAATTATTCGTAATTTAGATAAGAATAGTGTTTAGTAACATGAAATCAAAATCTCCATTGAAATATCAAACCTTAATATTTAACAAACACTGAACATTATTAAAATTAAATACAGTATAGTATTTATTCATTCCTTCATTCTTTCCATTTGTTGACACCTCAGGATAGTACCCACTGTTTGTTTCCCTATATTTCTCCCCATATACCTCTGTCTATCCATCCTGAGGTCATCAGATCCTGTAAGTGCTTTACAAAAACTAATATCATACATGTATAATATTCTTGGCATACCTGGAAAGGCTGCTGCCCCATGAGTGGACACTGTTGAGTTTGACATAGCCACGTCGGTAGCTGCTCATGGCTGGATGTGAGGTGGTTATTTCTTGTATATCCTCTTTGACTGTGTCCAGTGATGCCTCTGTATCTTGTCTGGAGAGCCAGTTTTTGTAGAACTTATGAATACTGTCTTGAGAGACATCCCTGCCCTGAAAAAAATTATTTTAGAAAATAAATTATAAGTCTAGATGCTTCACATTGTGGTCCACCCACTTCACTTCAACTTCCATTTTATATTAAAGAAATGGTGAAAGATCAAACAGCCCTCGCTAACATGAACAGCTTACTTAAAGTTTTTCTTGATGCTTTCCCATATTTCCAATTAAAAATTAGAATTCAGGATGGGACATGCTGATCTGTTTTTTTTTTTGTTTTTTTTTTTATTTTATGTTTAGATGACATCTTGCATACCTGTCAACCCTCCCGTTTTTCCCGGGATTCTCCTGTATTTTACCATTCTATCCCGCTATCATCCCGATTAAATATTTTCCCGTATTTTTAATCTTTCTAAAAAAAAATCCCACTGGCCGTATTTGATGTTTGCTACATTCGCCCTCCGGTAAAGCAGGTGGCAGTCTATAGACATAGCTGTAACATCTACAGAAGTCATTCACAGTGCGTTCCAAACGGTATATATTGCCCTCCGAAGGGCACTTCGGAGTGAAAACAATCATGGCCGCCATATTGAAGGGTCGTTCCAAACCGAAGTGCCCAAAACTGGCCACTTCAAAAGGGCCCTTCGGAATGAAGGATCTCGAAGGGTACAACTGATGGACACTTCGGGCTCCCATGATCCTTTGCGCAGATTCTTTGCATGATGACGGCGCCTCCGTGTGGGCATGCGATGATGACGCAGAAAGGCACTTCAAGAAACAGTTGTTTGGTCCCCTACACCCTTCGATGCTCTCACTCCGGAGGGTAAACCCTTTGAAGGGATTAGGGCATAGGGATGAGCCCTTCCGAATGGAACGCAGGGTCACTCAAATGGCACCCTCCAATAAAACAAGAAGAATAATAACGGTCGAAGAAGAGTGTTGCCAACTTAGCGACTTTTTTTCTCTCCAAAAAAGCACATAGTGACAAATCTAGCGACTTCTTGGACAAACCTTATTTAGTTTCTGAGACTCTCCGGTACTTCCGCAGCACACACACACCTCTCTCTGTGTCTGCTCTGTGCAGCGAGCGGCTGAGACGAGCAGCGCTTTCCATTATAAGAGATATTCTGTTGCTTCTAACTCTATTTTACATGCAAATATAGCCAAACAGCACAGCCATTGTCTTAATCTTATGTGTATTTGATTTCATTAGACGACATCGTGATTATAAATCAGGATTTTTGTGCAGATTAACGTCTAAGGGAGAGCTGGTTATGTAGTCTTAATGGGCCACGTTTCAGTCACTATTTCATATTTATCCTGCTGTCTGACAACAGAAACAGAAAAATATATCAATGAAAACAGTTTTATTGAGAATTTGACTGCATTAAAATAGGCCTACAGTTTGTGAGCACAGAGAGGCAAACAAATGTAAAAGACAATATTGACGCAGTGACGTCGTGAATATGCTAATTAGGATATGATGTTATCATTATCAATTTTCAAATCCCAATGTTGACAGGTATGCATCTTGACAGTTGTAAAAATTAAGTCTAAAAGATACTCCATTTAGATTTAATATGAAGCAGGTACAACAATGGTTTTAGCAATGGTTAATGATGTGTAGTTTGAAAAACATGTAATTTATTTTGGGGCTTGGCACTGGCATTATCTCTTCTACTTGTCAGTGCTCTTTATAATGCAGAGGCTGTCTAACCACGAATCAGAATTAATTCAACCCACATGAAAGCATATTTAGAAAATAGAAAAATCTGTGAGCAAGTGATTGATTTCAGATGCAGCTACTGTAGTGTCTTTTTATTAGGTTGGTTCAGATTTGAAAGAGCTTTTGATTAGACAGGAAATCTGCCAAATTTTAATTGCAGAATGATGTGTTCATAATCGTTGATCCATATTGGTGGTAGACTGTAAATTTTGAAAGTGTGTTTATTCTAAATGTGAATTTCGTCATTCTTTAGGAGCACAGTAGCTTATAATATATATTAACTTTAAGACTAAAATATTCATACTAAAATCCACAAAACTTCAGTTTTCATTTCAAGGGGCAGGTGTGAAGAATATCTGAATGTGACGCAAATTCTTTTAACGTAAAGTACCTCTGGTACTTGGCTTTGAGGTGACAAACATGAGCAAATTCTTACATTGTGCTCTTCAGTGATTTTTGACTAATATATACAGTGCTTATGAATGTGATTCGATAACCAAACTTAGCGAACCTAATGAAGTTAAATAAGAAAAATAAGTAAATAAATAAATACAAAGTAAGATTTCAGAGCATGGCATAGTGTGGAGACATGAGTTTAATTTTTATTACCCCTTTGTTCCTATCATCCCATGTTAATTAATATTCTGTATGTTGGAAAATAAAGGCCAGAACCCTGTGCTATAATCATTATCTGAATAATCTTCCATATCATTATAGGCAGGCAATGGAATAAAATATGATTGGCAGATTACTGACATCACCTTGTTCTGTTGTATGCTCAGTAGAGTTTTCTCAAAGCGAAGAACTTTAGAAATATCCAAGCTGTCTTTACAGAGTGACTTCAGACCAGATATTACATCCTCAGTAAGACAGAGAAGAAAAACCCAGAAAAATTTCACAGTGTCAAGTGTTCGCTTAAGTATGTGCTCTACAAGAAAAGGAGAGAAAACAGTTAAAGAAAATAATGCAAATATCAACAATTAAATGCATATACGTATGTGTGTTGAAGATCAAAAGATAGATATTATAAACTTTCAAATAAAATGTTTCATTTCCAACCTGCACTAATCTGACTATAGTCAAGTAAAGTTTTATAAATTATTTGAAAACAAGCTTTAGAGGGATCATAACATGACATTTTACTGTACTATAAAACAGTACTTGTTTCAGATCTCGGAAAATTCTCAAATAAGTCAATACAGAAAGCAGCCAAAATTATGTAAAATAATAATGTTTTAAATGTGACATTTGCACACATATAAAAAAACCCCCAAAACTTTATTTACATAAATAAAGGCAAGTAATTATGCCTTTATCTTAGTCTCAGTCAAGTTTTCTTTTATGGTCTGTAATTAATATTGGAGGATATTACATCTGTGAACAGCTTTACCTTTTTCTTCCTCTTCTTTTTGACAGAACTCCTCCTGCTGCTCTTCACCAGACTCCTCTTTCTCCATGCCTATGATATAACAATAGACACATCCTTATCATACATGTACGTGCCCTTATGGATTTTCCCCTTGTATATGCCGAAAAAACCCCAGCTATTTGTTAAATATTAAATAAATATATTAAATATACCATAGGATAATACCACACATTTCAGAAAAGATCTCCGTCCACACTACATGACCGAAAACGCATGTTATGTGACCTTCATGTGTCATCCGTAGAAATGTTTTCTTGGGTTCTTATGTACAGAACTGAATGCAGAAGTGTAATGGATGTTCGTCATCGGAGACAGGGCAGGTTATGCACACGTAATATGATTGACATATAAGCAGCGAACTTCCACTGTGTCAGAACAGCGATCGTAGAAGCTCATCAGTAAATCAGTGGAAAATGAATAGAAATGATGATTCTGTCTGAGTTATGCGTTTAAAAATGAAAACGCACAAGTGTAAAGTAGCCTAAAATAAGTGAAAACTGACAGCTATTTGAACTTTATTAAAACTATTGGCACTGATTTATTGTGTTGGTTACATTTTGTTCCTTTGTGCTTCTTTGTTCCTTTGTGCAGTGGCTCAGGAGATGAGTCTTTGAGTCTGTAAAAACATCAACAAGCTGCAAAAATAAAACCAAAGTTTTGGAAGTAATGTGTAATGTAATTTTGTTAAAACGGATTTCATAAAATTGGTATTGAAAAAAATTTAATTCAGGAATGGAAGTTTATATTGATATTGATATTGAAGTCAATATTTAAGTCAAGTTATCGGTGTCGATAAGAAATAATTTTTTGGGGAAACAGGGAAACCACACAATCAGGAAGTCTCTATGTAAAAGGACAACACAACCACAAATTCAATACCTCCAGATTCTCTCTGAACAGGTGCGTCAAGATAAAATTTCATAGCCCCAATTAATTAAATTAATGATTGACAGAGGTGGACAGTAACAAAGTACATTTACTTGAGTACACCAGCAGGGAACAGTTTGTATGCTACAGTGATTTTGTGCCTCTTTGGGTTGGCACTATAATGCGCCATTCACTTGAAGAATGCAAGCTTCTAGAGGGCACATAAGTCTGAAGTAGTGAAGCGCCTAGCTGGAAGGAGAAATTGTGATGAAGTGATGGGTTGGCTGAAACCACAAGCAGTTCTGTCTTGGCAAGGCTGAGTTGAAAGTGATGGTTCTTCATCCAGCAAGAAATGTCTGTTAGACATGCTGAGATATGAGCAGCTATCGTCGGATCATCAGGATGGAATGAGAGGTAGAGTTGAGCGTCATCAGCATGGCAGTGATATGAAAAGCCATTCTGAATAACAGAACATTGTGATGCCATGTAGTTAGAGAAGAGAAGTGGTCCAAAAACTGAGCCTTGAAGCATCCCAGTAGCTAAACGTTGCAACTTGAACACCTCACCACTCCAAGACACCTTGAAGGACCAATCTGAGAGGTAAGACTTGAACCACTGTGTGAGTGCACTTCCTCAAATGCCCTCTGCCATGAGGGTTGACACGACGATCTGGTAGTTAACCGTGTTAAAAGCAGCGGACAGATCCAGCAAGATAAGTATTGAAGATTTGGAAGCCACTCTTGCCAGCCTTAGGGCTTCAACAACCGAAAGCAGGGCAGTCTAAGTTGAATGTACACTTCTGAAGCCAGACTTGTTGCTGTCCAGGAGGTTGTCTTGTGTGAAAAAGGCAGAGACTTCATTGAACACAACTCGGTCAAGTGTTTTTGCAATGAATGGAAGAAGGGATACCAGTCTGTAGTTTTCATAAAGTGCTAGCCTAAGAGTGGGTTTCTTAAGTAGTGGGGTTATCCGAGCCTGTTTAAATGCTGAGGAAAAAACACCAGTGTGAAGGGATGTGTTAATGATGTGATTGAATGCAGGTACAACGGCAGGAGAAATGGCTAGAAGGAGATGAAATAGAATAGGATCAAGCGGGCAAGTAGTAGGATGATTGGAAAGAATGAGTTTGGAGACTTCTGCCTCTGAGAGTGGAGAGAAGGATGAAAACGAGTGTATGTTTGCTGGTAAGATATGTTTAACAGTTTGTGGTGTGGAGAATTGTGCACTGATGGTTGTGATTTTATTAATGAAGAATGTGGCAAAGTCATCAGGTGTTAGAGTTGATGAAGGAGGGGGAGGAGGAGGACAAAGAAGGGAGGAAAATGTTTTAAAGAGCGCATGCTCATAACATTACAACCATCAGTGCACAAATTTCCACACCACTAACTGTCAAACATATCTTACCAGCAAACATACACTCACTCACATCCTTCTCTCCACTCTCAGAGGCAGAAGTCCCCAAACTCATTCTTTCCAATCATCCTACTACTTGCCCGCTTGATCCTATTCCATTTCATCTCCTTCTAGCCATTAGAGTTAGACAAATTGTAAAATTTTTTTGTGGCATTATGTCCTTTTAGCAGTGGAGACATTAGCAGAGAAGAAAGAGAGGAGTGACAATAGATAGATAGATCAAGTGATGAGAACTGTTTGAGGGAAGGAAGTTAAGATTTAAACCATACCAAATAGCCGAGAGAGAGTGAGCATAGGTTGCATCGAATGGTGACATGTGGAGGAGTATGTGTTGTTTTAGGAACCATGTTGAGGTTAAGAATGAAGAGGAAGTGATCCGAGGTATGCAGTTAAGTAACCAGCACATGATCAGTGGAGCAGTGTCGTGTGTAAATAAGGTCCAATTGGTTACCTGATTTGGGAGTAGCCACAGTTAACACTCACTTGAGATCAAAAGCAGCAAGCAGAGTGTGGAAGTTTGCAGCCTGAGGTTTATCTAGGTGGATTTGGAAGTCTCCAAGCAATACTAGGGGAGTACCATCCTCAGGAAAGGTTGAGAACAACACATCTAACTCCTACAAGAGGTTACCTAACAGACCTGGGGGTCGATAAACAACTAACAAATAAATACATTTCCAATCATTAGAGATAAGCAGACCAGTACCTCCACCTCTTCCAGACAGATTGTGTGAAAAAGATAAATTATTGGAAAGGGCTGCAGGCGTAACAGTGTCCTCTGGTTTGATTCAAGTCTCTGTCAGGGCCATGAGGTTGAGCCTTGAATGACTAGTAATAGATGTAATGAAATTTCCCTTGTTTACCACAGACTGGCAATTCCAGAGACCAGTAGGAAAAGAAAGTAGTGGACAGGCAAAATACTGAAAAATGTTTTACCTGTCTGATATTCTGTAATTTAGTTCAATAGGACATGCTTTTCTGTTTAACACAACAAAGGGCCAAGCAAGCACACAAAACTGACAAGGCACGCGATACAGCATGTCAATGGGTCAAATGGGTGTCAAAGTTCAAGTTTTTTAAACAATTGCATTATTGTTCATGTGTAAACTACAAAAATTTCAATTTTTGAAAATGGTGATGGCATGAAGATTATAGGTATATGTGCAAGAACAGTGTTTATTTACAAAGTGACATCGCCAACTACTGGCCTGGCATGCATAATACAGCATTTTTAGTCATTTTAGAGGATCCGTGTGAATGGGGATATTTTTAAGAGTGTTGTCATCTGTGCGCAAAACTTTTCAAAGACGCAAAGGAAAACTTTATAAATATGATACATGCTATTATGTAAAAATCAGTAGAGCTCCCTGGAAAGGAATTTAAAGCCAATTTACCCAAACTGTCTTACATTGCATTCAGTCTTACATTATTCAGTTTTTGCATTCCTAGGAAAAGAACCCATGATGGTATTCTACTACTTGAGTTACAGGTTTTAGATAATTGTTATATCAAGTTAGGATTTGCCTCAATAATACAAATTTGTAAGTAAGTAATAATAATAATAATAATAATAATAATACCTTAAGATCAATAGATACTACTTAGGATAAAGATAGGAAGTTTCTTTATTATGGCCCCCTATCAGGAGATTTTTTTACGATATATTTTAATATAAAAGAGAGAGAGATTTTGAGGAAAGTGAAAGTGCTGCCTCAAATAATAGTCCAGAGATTTCCTGAAATGGATGGAATACGATCAAATAATCAGACTATACAGTATAGTGAATTCACAGAGTAAACCTTAAAAGATATAAAGGAACTAAAAATAACCAGTCAAGCACAATATTCCATGCAAACATAGTTCAGAAACTGTACCCTCTTGTCTGTGCAACTGTCTTTTGACTTTAATTTGCTCTTCTTGCTCTTGACATTCATGGTCTCTCAGGGCTGCCTTGTAGCCTGCCACCCAAGCCTCATAGGCCAACTGTTGGTGAAAAAGAAAATGCCCAGTAGCTGTATTTGCATCCACACTGGCTCAAAATACATATGCTGCTGTGAGTTAACGACTGTATATATTGCATACATGCAGTTGCAATTAAATGTTTCAACATCATTAATGATAATTGAACACATCTGACAGAGACATTATGAATTCAAGATCCACCAATCATTACAAAAAACAAAACAAAAAAAAAGTAATTTTGCTGATTTAATATGTTTAAAGCACCTGCTATGTAATAAGGCTTCACAGACCTAGGGGATTTTCCATCTTCTGATGTGGCAGCCACTCAGTGAAAAAGCTATTTGTTGTCATTAATCCCATTGGTAGTTGTTCAAATTGTGCAGAACAACTTGTAGGTGCTGGTAACTCTGCAATTGATGTTTCATCTACCTACGGGACTAACTGGACCATGCTAACCAGCCCTTTGACCCCAAAGACCAATCATAAATGCAGAGGTTCAAATATCATTCCTTTGCATAATTCTGTATCGTGTATGTAACCCACATGTTTGACTATTATGTTTTAATCACACCCTGTTCATGCCATTATGAGTGATTTTGAATAGTTTATAAGAGGTAAGTGATATTTGGTGTGTCAATGTGTGAACTCATTTCCCAAATGTTCCCAAATTGAATCGATTCTGCGTAAAACATATCATATTCCTATTAGGAAAATCATCACTAAGTTACATTCTGTAAGAGCGGGAAAACTGGGAACCATGTGACTCAGACCATAACATGTTGTTAAATGTGAAGGGAAGAAACATAGTAACTCCCCCAAACTAAAAATAATGTCTAATTGGTCAGAACCCCTTTAGGAGTAGGTCAACCAGCAGAGTTTAAGATGTCATGACATAAACATATCATCATTAGGAAACCCCTTTCAGAGAAGGAAGCAACAGAAGGGAATCCCCATTCAAAGATGCAACCCAAGAAACACAAGTAATACCTCCAGATTCTAGATGAACTGGTGCATTAATATAAAAATGTTCATAGCCTTGTTGATAAATCATTGCAAGGGTTAAGTTAACAAGTGATGATTCTTTCAGGTCAGGTCTAAGAAATGGCACGTACTACTTGGGATTTCATTCTTTCACACTCTTAAAAGTTATTCCTTCCTCATTTTCTTTCTGCAACTCGAATGTGTTAATGCATGTTTATGTGTTAGATTAGTTTACATATTAGAATAGTTCAATAAAATTTTCGGTCCCACTTTATATTAAGTGGCCCTAATATCTGTGTACTTACATAGTAACTAGATGTGTACGTAGTATGTAACCACAGTGTAAGTACACATTGGTACATAGTATCTAGAGCTGTAATATTTCTGTAACTACACACATGTAACAACCCTCCGAATGGTTTGTGTAAGTACAAATGTGTAACAGGACATATATAACTACATTTTCTAACAACAATATCTATAAGAGTTATTGGAACAATTTGATCCAGGGGGTGGAGATGGGTAGGTTTAGGGGTGGAAATGGGATCCAGGGGGTGGAGATGGGTAGGTTTAGGGATATGTAAAGTGGGAGGAGTTGGATCTCGAGTTGGTGCACCACTGTAATGCCAGTGTACTTACATGGTAACTCAGCAGGAACTGCCCACTTAGCTTTCTTTACCAAAACGTGCTGTTAGCCCTGTTACACATTTGTACTTTCATTACCAAAAAAGTGTTGTTACCAATGTCCTGTTACACATTTGTATTTACACATACCATTCAGTGAGTTGTTACATGTGTGTAGTTACACAAACATTACAGCTGTAGATACTATGTACCAATGTGTACTTACACTGTGGTTACATACTATATACACATCTAGTTTCTATGTAAGTACACAGGTATTAGGGCCACTGAATATAAAGTGGGACCAATACAATTATCAATTCCCTTTGATCTACATTTACTTGATCCATTAAAGTGGTTTAGAGAACTGATTGTCGGTGAGTGATGTAAAGGACTGGTTGCTGGTGGTCACCACCTTAATGTCACCATGAAAGATGTGTTCTTGGTCATCTCTCTCAGTTTACACATGAGTCCACACTCTCCATTGTAAACAAATAGTGTCATCAGCTTGTGTGTGAGTATACGTCCATGTATACGTCATTATACGCCACAGGAAGTTTGCACTCCAGACAGTCGTGAACAGTGAGTCCCCTGAGTCGTTTGCCGAGGCTGTGGGTTAAAGGTAATAATGTTGTAAATAATGTTCATTTTCTTGCACAGACCGATCATTTCTCTTCATAAGACCTCAATTTATCGTCAGGAGTCACGGATATTGATTTGGTTTTGTCTGTCAGCCACAGACGTGCGGTGTATGAATCGCCAAGGACAGCAGTTTCACCATCTTGGATGGCCTGAGGGTGAGTAAATTAACAGCAAATTTTCATTTTTGGGTAAACTATTCTTCAAGTTTAACCTTGATAATGTTCAGCCATCTAGATTTCAGATTTTGTTTGTTGGGACAGTGGTCCTGAGCTTATGTCAGATGAGAATTTGAGATTTGAAAGGACTCTCTAGTAGGTTCAGTAAGTGTGTCCCTATAGGAAAGTACAGCCAGTGCCGGATTTTCCTGTCTGAGAATTGTTTTTGATTCAGCTGCATGTTTCTGCTACGGAAGTTCAGGCAAGGGTGTAGTGTGTGTCACCACACTGTATCCCTGTATCTCTCTCTGCTCTTAGGCCATGTGTCCATGGTGGATTCTTTTGAGGAGTTCCGCTCTCAGACTTGAAGAAACAACAGTTTGATTCCGGTGACTCAGGAAGCCTCTCTCTGTAAAGAACTCTTTAGCTGGCTTGGCTACACCTTTGACGTAGGTTGACTACCGTTCTTCTATGTTGACCATGACATAGGTTGACTGCCCTTCTTCTATGTTGCCCCTGACCAGTTGGAGAGTATGGTCCTTTGCAATTTCCACTTTGACTCGTGGATTCCTTTCAGTACCTTCCACAGCACTTATTTGTGCACAGATAACAGCCTCCAGACCCATTTCATCTGTACCTGGCTTTGGATGACTTGACAGAGCATCCGCAACCACTAAGTTTTTGCCAGGCATGTATTGTCCTCCCTCATAAAGTATTGGACTCACTCATAATCTTGCAGTAGGACCTCTCCTAAACCATGACTGCTTGCATCAGCACTCACCTGCACTGGTCATTTGGGTTTAAAGAAATGCAGCACTGGTGGGAAAGAAATCAAGGCTTTTACCTTTTTAAAACCCTTATCCTGCTCTGGCCCCCATAGCCAATGTACATCAGCTTTCAGTAAGTCATTAAGAAGGTGCAGCACACTTAAAAGATTGAGTATCTACCCACAAAATTGACCATACCAAGCAGCCTTCTCAGGTATGTTTGATTTTGCTGTAATTGCTTTGACTGTCTGGGTGTGGAGAAATACCTTCACTGCTGATTCTATGTCCCGAGAAATTGAGCTCACTCATTCTCTCACAAATTTGCACATTTGTTGGTTAAGCTTTAGGCCTGATTTTCAGATGGTGGGTGTCCATGACCTAAGTCTCTAGTCATGTTCCTCCATAGTAAACCTGTACACTAGGATCTCATCATATATACAACGGTGCCTTCCTTTTCCTCTGGAAAATCTCAGGTGCTGATGTAATGCTGAAAGGTGGCCTCTTGAAGCAAAATCTCCCTAGCAGCGTAATGAATGTTGTGAGTCTGGCACCCTTCTCATGCAGAGGGATATGTCAGAACCCACTCGCTACATCCAGGCTTGAGAAAACAGTGGTTCCAGCTAACCTGTGTAGAATGTCATCCAACTGAAGGAGAGTGAACTTTTCTTTTTGTACGCTCTCATTTAACCTTTTAAGGTCTACACAGATTCTTATTTTCCCTGATGTTTTTATCACCGGTACCATAGGGGCACCCATTCCATTGGCTCTGTAAGACTCTCATTGGTTCCTAAGTTTTCCATTCGCTTCAGTTCGTCCTACACTTTTGGCATAAGAGAAATTGCAATACAACAAGGGGTGGTGATGCTATGTGGCCGTGCATACTCTTTTAGCTCTTGACCAAAGTCCCAACTCACCTTAAAGACTCACTTCCTCTATGTACTGTATCAGTCATAGGTGGGATCTGTTAGTGTTGCATTCACAACTCAATTGCGCAACAGGTGATACTATGCATTGAGTGGAGTCTCTATCTACAGATGGACAAGCTGATTTGGACTTGAATCGGCAAAGCACAGGTACGTCTGATTAAAAAAAAGTGACAAGTGAAACTTAAATTGATGTGACATGTGACATACCCAGAATTTGTGCTCTGCATTTAACCCATCCAAGTGTCCTCACACAGAGCAGTGAGTAGTTAACACACACCTGAAGCAGTGGGCGGGCATATTTGCTGCAGCACTAGGGGAGCAATTGGGGGTTTGATGCCTTGCTCAAGGGCACCTCAGTCGTGGGTATTGAAAGTGAAAGTGAAAGTGAAGTGACGTGTGGCCAAGTATGGTGATCCATACTCGGAATTTGTGCTCTGCATTTAACCCATCCAATTGCACACACACAGCAGTGAACACACACACACCACACACCCGGAGCAGTGGGCAGCCATATTGCTGCGGTGCCCAGGGAGCAGTCGGGGGTTTGGTGCCTCCTCAGGGTCTCACCTCAGTCGTGGTATTGTGGGTGGAAGAAAGTGCTGGTCATTCTCCCCCCGCCCCAACGACAATTCCTGCCAGACCTGAGATTCAAACCCACAACCTTCAGGTTACAAGTACAACTCTCTAAACCTTAGGCCACAAATGCTGCCCAGGAATCCTCCCACTGCCCCATGTGGTACTTTCTTACCAAGGCTCTGCTCTTGGTCGTGTCCCCCAAAGCAAGGACCCATAGAGATGCGCTGTTGGGTCAGTGCAGTTCTTAACTGCAGGAAAGGTTGGAGAGGTAGTTATACCCCTCCAACTTGAAAATATATGTGGCTGCTATAGTGGCACATCACAGGCTCCTTAAAGGAACTAGTAGGTTAAATTAAACAAGGCCATGCCTTATTCCCTCTTGGGACCTCTCTGTGGGCCTACAGAGAGCTCTGTTTGAGCTCTTCAAGTCAGTTGAGCTTAGCACCCTCTCATTTGAAGATGGCCCTCCTGACCGCACTTACTTTCATCAAGAGGTTTGGAGACCTGCAAGCATTCTCTGTTATTGGAGTTTTATTAATGGAACGTGCCTTGAGTTCAGTCAGGCTTACGCTCATATTGTCTCACATTGCTGTGTCCAGTGCAGGCAACACCCAATACCTTCACAAGACTTTACAAATCTCCAGCTTGAGCCAGTTTTGTCCCGATTGTTATTAGGCACGAACAGGCAAAACTTCAGTATCACTTGCATGGAGGTGATAATTTGAGTTTTATTGTCCATGTGAGTTCCCCATGTCCGGTGAACCATGGACTCTCACTTACTCTCCAGAACTTATAGGTAGCTCATTACTCAGGGTATGCCCCTTTTCAGGTGAGCTAGTGTACTTGGGATAAGTGCTCCATATATGCTGATTCCCTGAGGGTAATCCCATATGATGCATTTCCACTATTCGGTTTCCCTCTCTGTAAATCCTGTGTCTTCCCAAGGACAGAGCCTCGATCTGCCTCTAGTCTCTGTGCCTTTAGCATTCCTTCTCAGGCAGGACCCACCACAGAGACCTCTTCCCGGATAGAGTCTGGAGTTAGTAAGTGTATACCTGAAAAGCAGTTTTCTTCTTAGGAAAAATTTTGTCATCTGTCTTGTCCTTCACCTCCTCTTCCTCCTCCGCACTGTCAGTTTCAAAAAGATCATAGCCACAGTCCTCATCTGAACATACAAGCAGACATACATATAAATGCAGGCATTTATAACACACACACGTTTTGATGTTCATTAAATATTATTTTGAAGTTTGGTGCTATTATGCTATGGTCTAACAAATTAAATAAGCACCAGTGAGAAGACGACTTATGGGTCATACTGATGTGCATTTCAAAAACGAAATAATTTTAAAATATATGTTCAAAGTGGACTACCGTTTCGCTTTGGGCAATATGAGGATTCAGCATGAGCAGTAGATGATGTAACCTGTTGATAAGAAGCATTCTTCTGTTTTGACTTGATTTTATCCATTCTGTGGGAAAAAAATGAAACCAGCTTTACACTAATATACACTATTAAAGCACATTAATCATTAGCATTAATCAATGACAAAAGAAGAAGCAGAAGAAGAAGAAGAAAAGATCTCCATACTGTTTCTTCAGTATCTCCACAGATTTTTTCTCCATTTCTAATCTTGCTGCCACCTGTTTCTTCACTTTGGCTTCAAACAACTCTGCACCTCTTAAAATAAAGAAATATTAGATTTAGTTAATCATCCCACACCGCTCATGCTGTGGTCCTCCTTTCTTTTGACTCCATCTACACACATTTCTAGTTTAGTTAATCATTATTCCATTTGTATTCATAGACCACTGTTTTTTTTTTCAGTTCTTTGACAGTTCTTATTTCAGTGTTGATTGCTATACTTTGGTTGTTGTTTTTGGATAGTATTTAATGAAAGTACATCTGGTTATTTCTTTGTAAATCATATTTATTACAAAGTGCTAGAACAATAACTAGTATAATTGAGGTAAGAAGGTGCTAAGGAAAAAATTCCCTTAAAAACAAAATTTAAGAGAAACCTACTTCAAGGCTAAGCCCTTGATACCAATCACATTCTTAAGCCTACGTATGAGAATATTGTGGTTGATGGTATTGAATTCTGAACTAAGATCAAACAAAAATAGGTCAGCACAAAATATGTTTTGGTCACCTCAGTCTTTGAAACAACATATGTTAGGTTTCATAAAGTTCACAAAGAGCAGCGTAACACAGCTCCCCTGCTGCTCCAGGTGGATCAGATCAGTATGAAGAGCTGTGGCTATGGTGTCCTTTGTAGATCTGTTTGCTCTGTATGCAAAATGGTGTGTGTCAAATATGGGTCATAGGCAGCTAATGTTTAGCTATCTCCATGTGAAGTATTCTGCTTAAATGAAAGTGTCATTCAGCCAGTCTGTGTTCTGTCGTGGATCTCGACTGTATTGTTTGTGATTGTGGTTTGCTGATTGTAATGTTACTTGCGCAACCTCTGTGCGGCAATAAGTCTTTTTTTGCCGTAGTTTTAAAAGAGAAACATTAATGCAATTTGGAATTATTGGAATTACTATTAGGAATGTCTAAAAAAAATAAAATTTGAGAGTAGGTTATTGTTACACCAGTTTTTATAACGTAGACAGGGTCTTGACCCGATCTGGCAACTCCCATTACTTTCCTGCAGGGACCTATACTTGGGCAGAGTACGTATCCGTTTAACAGAAGAGCTCTGATTGGGGGATTTGAGCTCTTGATCTTTATCTGGCAACTGCAAACATGAACGCTCGCATAAGAGAGTCTTGTACAACAGTATGAAATGTTTTGGCTCCACTTTTTCAACAAAAATAAAAAGGTTTTGGTAAAGTTTTTGTTCTTTTAACTACATTTAGTCTCGTCTTTTTTCATCAACAATAGTGCATGTTGATATAGTCTCAGTTATCGTTTAATGACCTTATTATCGTCTCATCATCATCTTGTTTTCGTCAGGGGAAAAAAACCTCATTGACAAACATTTTTTGTCATAGATTTCTTTAACAAAATTAACTCCAGTGAGAACCAGACCTGTTATAAACCTAAATATGCCTATAAATTAATAATTAATTTAAATTATTAGGCTTTTGGGGTCAAACGCGCTTGGGCACGGTACTAGTGTGAGTACACCCTCAGAACACCTACTCTGTTGGCAGCTAATAACAGCTAAACTCCACACGTAATAACGAAGAATACTGCCTAACTCTTGATGACTGTTCTGCCATGCCTTTGTCCTGAGTGTGTTATTTGATAGCAATCTTTCATTTGAAAGCCACATTTCTAGCATTTGAAAAAAAGAAGCTGATAATCTGACTGTTCTCATTCCTTTGAGGGCCTGAAATTCGGCTGGCTCGGATGTTAAAAACGAACTACTGGCCTTCACATTGAGAAACGTAATCCAGTCAAGAAGAGGAAGTAATCTTGTGAAATTGATCTTAACCCAAAAACACAAATGTTTGCAATTTTGCCATGTAACATTTGGTTGTTAAACTATTACTCATTATTAACTATTATTTATTATCCGCGTAAAACAATCCTTCACATGTGCAAAAATGTTTGTTTGGGCACTGCACGCTGATTTTACAGCTTTTAAATTGAGCAGTGTTGCTTTTATATTTGGTTGACTGCATTTTAGTTTGATGATGAATGGCTGAAATCAATCAGTTACATTTGTTTGCATAACTATTATTCATTATGTAGCCTAAACATGGCTTTATACTTCAGTCATGTTCTAATATCCGTGTAAAATCCTTCACATGTGCAAAAATGTTTGTTTGGGCACTGCACGCTGATTTTACAGCTTTTAAATTGAGCAGTGTTGCTTTTATATTTGGTTGACTGCATTTTAGTTTGATGATGAATGGCTGAAATCAATCAGTTGGATTTAATAAAATAAAGATACAAAGAAAACAAATAAAATGCATTGAAAGAGACTATACTTGTCGCACAGGTTTTTTTCATTTGTTAATCTGTTAATTATTTAAGAGAAATATATTTTGTGTAGTCCTATTTATTTTATTCCTTTTACTAGGCCTACTTAATTCTATGTTTCTCTGTTCACAGAAGCGATGCAGGTGTGTGATGCAACGATGTCTGAATCCTCATGGTTTGTTGTTAATGCTGCTATTTGCACATACAAAGCTAAAGACCTGAAAAAATCACATTCTAATCTTACTGGTTAATGATTGACTGGTGAATAATGATTAATAAGCTTCGGGTGTCGGTCAGGAAAATAATCTAAATGGACAAAATGCTGTCATTATACAATTCTCTGCCAGATTTACTATTCTGCATGCAACTCAAAAACGTGCGTACACGAGCTGAGACATGACTTGAGATTTGAGCGTAGCCACTGCTCACGTCCCTATTGATACTTTCCAGGTTTTGTGTAGAAATGACCATATGCACAATTTCCAAAGTACGCACAAAGTTCAAAGTATGAATGGCCAATGCAGAAGACTTGCAAATCTTTTGAAAAACAGAGGCGGCGAAGCACTCTGTTTTACCTGCAGCGAGGCTCACATTGAAGAGGTTGCTATCCTAAAGCCTAGGTGTTGTTAGGTTTCACAGGGGGAGGATCCACATCCCTAAATACTCTATTTCCTGAACATCCAGTTTCAAAAAGCCAGTTTATGCCAAAACCTACACAGGCCAGGACAAACTGTTTCACTGGTGGGTCATAAAGATCTCTATCAGCTCCTTTTCCTGCCAATCGATTGACAACTTTCAGCAGAGCCATGTCAACTTGTACATGGGAGGGTGAGTTCTCCTCCTGTGCTCTCATTGGATGGGACTGATTTAGGGGAAGAATACCATCTGCTTTATCATCATCCTTGTCCTTGAGAATGGTCAGCAGAACTTTGTCATTGTCATCTTTCCCCATTAAGTATCATTGAATCGCGGAGGAAGAGTGAGCGACACACTATCCATCATATCACCCCATGAGTTTGAGGCCTGAGGACATTTCTTTGGTTCCACCCAGGTTTGAGCAGCAAGGCATGGGTCCATCTTTCTTGTGACTATCACTCGAAGTCTCCTTTCTCAGGTTTTAGTCGAGAAAGTCATTCAGTGGGGGGAGCCCTCGGGGTTGGATAGTGCTGCCTGAGCATGTTACCCAGATAGCAGATGCAAGGACTGTGAAAATCCTTTGCAGAAATTGAAGTGCAATAATGTGGAGGACGGTCTTTTCCTATTGGGCTCTCTGGCTCTTTAGCAGTGGCTACTACACAGTGAAAACTGGTACGGAGCTGTGCTTAGAGCAGTGAGCTCTCTCTTTTCTCTCTCTCTCTTTGGTGCATGATGAGCACCCAAAAACTTGGGAAAAATATACAGAAAAACTTAGAGTAGAAAACGCGCCTTAACACGTAAGTTATCAAACTCTAAGCCACAAGGTCATTCAGCAAACAAAGAATATATTGCGTTTGGGAGGTTACCTTGCGGCTTTGTCTGTAAACTGTTGAACAATAATACCTAAAAATCTGCTGAGGATAGCTTCCAAAAATCTTCCACTGGGAGGAGAGTGAAAATTATATACATGTTATCACAGTTCTATAATTGTCTATATGTAATATAACTGTCTATTATATAAGTCTATAATTGGCAGCGGATGTGGTTTATGTAACATTCTCTGAATTAATGCACATTTTTGTTGAAAATTTCAACCAGCTTCTTAGTGTCCACAGGAAAATCATATATTAGATAAATAAGCAGCAGAATAGACATCTGAAAAATATATAGCTGTGAATGAGTGTGTAGAATAAGCGTACATATGAGACTGAAGATTACATGAATACCTTACATTACAGAATTCGCCTTTAACCCTGATGTTCTGGTCTCACTTTAGCAAACACCATAGATACCTTTCTCACCTTGAAGCAAGGACCTTAGAAGTCTGAAGGTCAGAAACAACATAGAGGAAGTAGTAGCTGAGGAAGACTCTCCTCTGAGCCAACAGGACAGTGAAACAGATGGCATCCCAGACGATACCAGCTTCACCCTCTGGCAATTCACACTGATTGTCAGGCTTGGCTACACAAAACCACATATGACAAACACAAATTTGATTGAGGCCTGTCAATCAACCTATGTAATGCAAAGTCAAACTTATGTACATACAAAATTACATTACATGATACAACTTGTTATAGCACTTTTCATAATACAATTCATTCCACTGCAATTTTCCTTGTTTTCTTATATTATTTTCTTCAAGAAATATGTACATGAAGTTAGCTGTCATGTTCATGCTGATGATACCCAGATTTTTAGGTCAGCAGGACCTGATTAAATTTCTCAAATTTTAAAGTTTGTAAAGTGTGTATATGCTATTTATTTATTTGCTTATTTACTGCGCATACTCATGCTTTTTCACATATAGTCACTTTTATAACATCTGTGCAAAGATCTAAACATAAGACTTCTGGTCAACTGTCAGTTCACAAACCATTGCCAGACAATAGCAGGACTCCAGTGTTATGAGATGAGAGACATGCGGATCCATATGCAAGCTTTTATTAAGAGACGTGGTTTTAACAGGCATGGGTCAGACAATGGCAAACAGGTATATCGAAGGCAAGGCAAGAGATAAATCCAGGTAGAAGGCAAAGGTCCAGGCAGGGGCAAACAGAGTCAGAAACAGCAAGCAAAGGGTTAATCCAAGATACGTGGCGTGAATCAGAGACCAGGAAAACAGACAAGGCAAGACTAAGACTAGAATAAGAAATCTATGAAAACTTAAACAGGCTCGGTAAGGTAGCTATCCGCTAAACAGGGATAAACGCACAACAATACACGAGACTAAAACAGAAAACACGGAATGGCTCGGTAAGGCAGCTAACACTGAAAAATGCAGAACAATACTCGGCAACTAGAGCAGGATCAGGGTAGGTGTTATAATAGTGTGTGTAATAGCATTCAGGTGAGCGTGTAATTGGTTTCAGGTGTGAGTGTAATCAGTGCAATGGAACATGGGAAATGTAGTCCAGGGTGATGTGTAACAGTCTGTGTGGTGCGAGAGTCAATATCATGGAAGGGCGACCTCTGGTGGCAAGTGGATGGAAATTCATGGATCGGATTCGTGACATCCAGTAACTAATGATGACTAATGATTACTGATGATGAATCACTGAATTATTGAAAATGTATGTACACCTGAGGTGGAAATGTGGCCACAAAGGAAGTTGAATGGCTGTTACACCTCAGGTGTGCATTAATAAATGCAGTTGTCACTCCCAAAACTTTGCAGTGTATGTAAATGTAAATCTTTACAAAGATTAGAAAATGTAAATGAAATATGATATTTTTAGTGGTGTACTAATGATGTAATTACACTATGAGGAATCCTATTCAATAAAGTGTTACTTACGTAAATTGTAGCCATTGATGGTGCAGAACATGCTGAAAGCTTGAATGAGCCAACAGCCATTCTTCTGTAGACTCTCCAGATAAACACAAGAGCCAAGCTGACCACACACACAAACAGAGTAAGTAATTATACTTATAAACACTGTATTTAAAAAAGGGGAGTAAGTTTAATGTATAGTCAGCTGGTCATAACCATAAGGGTGACTGTAAATGATCTTAATATTTGACTACTTATTAAATAATTAAATGGACATATTTTTTAAAATTTGGGTGAGAAGGGAGTGCAGAGTGATACAAGAGACATGAACTGCCTTTTTGTGCTTTGTTCACAAAACTCAGTGCTATTTGCTTGGTACGATTACCACTGCTTTATTAAACCAAATTTTATTTAGAATATATTTGTCTACATTCTCAATTTACCATGGCAGCATTAATCCAGTCAAAGATTATCAAATGATGGAGAAGAGAGTCAAAACCTGTTTCATCTCCTGATGTGTGATGAGTAATATGCACTTTTAGATGGCACAATTGCTTCTTGGCTAATGCAGCTATTTTTTGTGTATGGTCCTTTGTGTTATTTTTGGCCTCCCTTCGTCACAGTAACATACTATAGGGTGTGACAGAACACTCAATAATGTGCTTACCGAGAGCATGTTCTTGAAGCTGATGACCACACAGGTGTAAGCTATGAGACAGTCCCACAGTCTGAGCACATATTGCACTGGCTGCAGCAGTAATGTGCTTCCAAACAGCATGAAATAGAAACAGGCCACCAGATAACCCAGACAAAAGATATTAATTCTTATAGTTCCAGTGATAAAGATGAGACATAACACCAGCCAGAAAAAGTAACTGAAAACAAACAGCTTCACCATGTCCAGATATGATCTGAAAGCACACACAAAAGCATAACATATCACAACATTCTACACATGTCTGTGTTTATCCTAAACGAATGCAATAAATGATACTGACCATTTTTACACTTTGCACAAACTGTAAAAAGTACAATAAGTTTCTATATATTATAACAATTACATGAATAGAAAAAAAAAGATTCATATTTTAAACTGGGGAGTTAGTTTTGAGTTGTGAAATTTGCAGCATGCTTTTATTGTAGTGCAACCTCTGTGCAAATATTAAGAACATTTTGGTTCTCCATTTAATTTTCCATAATTTAAGACATGACTCTTCCCAGCCATCCATGTTTTCACTATTATGCTATTACGCATATTCTGAAATAGTACAGAATCTCCAGATCCAAAAACAAGCGAAGAAGAAGCAGAAGTAAACAACAGAAGCATTGCTTACGGGCATGTAAGCTAACATGATCATCAAACATTCATGTCGATCCTACAAAGAGGTATATGACTCTGCAAGCTTTGGGGTGTTGATGGACTCAATCTGCTCAATCTATAGTTTATTAGTTTTAATCATCATTCTAAATCCGATCCAGACATTTTTTTCTCTGCCTTTTGTTCAAAATGTTGCTTTTTTAATGAAACCTACAGACATTCAAGTGTTGATAAAAAAATAATGCATAAAGCTAGAATAAAATGTTCAAAAGCAGAGGCTCTGTTACTTAATTTGATATTTTAATAATTTGTTCAGATATTCATAACAAATTATTCTGGGGGCCATGAAAGTTTTGTTCAAATGGAAAAAAAAAATGCTGTCACTGGATGGCAAATTTAAACAAAAAATGCTGGCTGAGTGTATATACAGTATATATATATATATATATGTGTGTGTGTGTGTGTGTGTGTTGTAAATTTGTGTTCAAATGTAATCATGAAAAACTAACACATACCGGCAATGAAGAAAGTTGCTGACAGGAGTGTACTGGTTGAGGGTTTGTGGATCTAGATTTCGGCTGATCTCCACATTCTCTCCTGCCAGGAGTCTCACACATGCCTGATTTTCATCCTCAAAGACCTGCCACTGCAGAGATGCTACCAACAACAGCAGGCAGTCATCTGATTGAAAAGAAATTAGAAAATGAGAGTGATACACACCTTTTTCTTGGTAGATATGCTGATTCAATGTGGTGTGATGGAATAGGTCACAGAGAATGAAGCTGGAGTTGGGACTCATGGCGTAGTCTGGTAGATACAGCCACTTTATCAGATTAGAGCTCAAAGCCGCAGATGACTTCCTCCAGGTATAATCTAGCAGAGAGTGAAATGGTTTCATTAAGACATGATTTTCTTATATTGTGATTTATTAACATTTCTTTTTGATTCCAGAATGTTCCAGGCCCTATTCCTATAGTACTCACTGTGCTAGGTAAGCATTTGATTTGACTTATCAGCTAATTAATAAAGGTTCTATTATCTGAACTGACACATAAATTTGCAGCAATGGATCAGGACTGACAAACAGTGGGAACATTGGAACACAAATGCTGTGTCTGAAATCGCTCAGTTGAAATTTTTAATGGAGTAGTCATTACAAAAAACATAGACGAGGGGTGTGTTGCACTCCTAGAAGAACCCTTGCAATGGGTTGAACTGGAACATCCTAAGACCTTAGTAACTTGGAATCTGACATGGAGCTGATTTATGATTTACATTTTTTTCCCCTTATGAATTTGATTGATGCACCTTTCCATATGCATATAGGTATGCTTGAGCTTTTGGAGAAATAAATATAATACCTTTAATTTTTAGGCGCCTTTCAAGACACTCAAGGACACCATACATCATAAAAGGAAGGCAATAAAATACAAGCTATACAAAACACAGAGACATACAAATCAAACAATCAAATCACTAAAAGCTATTTTAACCTGAGCTTTAAAGAGGGAAATAGAATCCAGCTGACAAATGTGCAGTGGCAAAGAATCCCATAATTTGGTGCTGCATACCTAAAAGCCCTACCACCAAAGGAACTCAACTTGAAATTTGGAATTCTCAATAAGTCTGCAGAAGATGATCTCAAAGAATGTGAAGGAATGTACAATTGAAGAAGATTTGAAAGACAAAAAGGAGCCAGATTATGAAGAGCTTCATAGGTAAGCAGCAACATTTTATATTGTATGTGGAAACGAACAGGAAGCCAATGTAGTTGGAAAAGAATGGGAGTTATGTGATCAGAGGTACTTTAGTAGGTCCTAGCAGCTGCGTTCTGAATTAACTATAATATATGAAGCTGTTTTTCAGGAAGACAAAATAAAATAAAATTACAATATTCAATCCATGATGTAACCAAAGCATGAATAAGAGCTTCATTGCTATGCTGAGAAAGTGATGGACAGAGTCGGGCAATGTTAAATAAATGAAAAAATGTAGTACGTGAAATATTATTAATATGGGAAACAAAAGAAAGCAAACCATCAAATATAACACCAAGACTTTTCACGTGGGTGGAAGTATTAACTGGGGAGTTATCGATAAGCAGGGTGAAAGACTGAGTTTTGTATAAAACAGATCTAGACCCAACAAGAAGGGCCTTAGTTTTGTTGGTATTTAGCTTTAAAAGGTTATATTTATAAAGTTATAAAAGTTATTAGTCATCTATATGTTAACTTCCTGCAAACATTTAGTGAGTTCAGAAGGAGGATGGAAAGCATTAGATTTTGTGGATATATACAATAGTGTATCATCAGTGTAAAAATGGAATTTAATCCCATACGTGTGAAAAATGTGACCAAGGGGTAGCATGTAAATGATAAATAAAAGCGGACCCAACACGGACCCCCATGGAAGACCTTGAGTAACTGTAACAGGCTCTGATTGAGCATTCTTAATCTGAACAATCGGCTTCCTATCACTTAAATAAGATGAAAACCAAAGAAGCACATTACAAGCCAATCGTTCAAATAAAACTGAATGACTAATAGTATCAAAGGCAGCACTAATATCTAGAAAAATAAGAATAGACAGAAAACCAGAATCAGCTGCTAGAAGATCATTTGTAACTTTAACGAGAGTGGTTTCTGTGCTATGTTTGGATATGAAACCCGACTGAAATTGCTCATAGAGATCATTACTTTGCAAATGTGCTTCAAGTTGAGTTGCTTTCCCCATTGAGGAAACTGTGAAGCAGGTGAAACTGTTTGTTCTTTCAAGTATTTTTTTAAATAAAAGGAAGATTAGAAATTGAGTTGATTGTTGTTTAAATCATTAGGATCCGCACTAGAATTTGTAAGAATTGGAGAGATAGAAGCCAATTGTAATTGTGAATGAACAGTAGCAGTAGATAATGTGGAACTCATTATGGCTGTAATATTGGGAGAAATTGAATGAATGCAGTACTTAACTAAGACAGTTGCCTTGTCCAAATACCCACACTTGCGGTCTTTGCACTTGACCACTTGACTACTTACAGTATATGACGTATTTCCTGTATTTGGCCCAAGTGTTCAAGTGAGCTTGTAGACCACAAGTGCGTGTCAAACTTTTCATTACCTGATGGGACACACTTCTAGTGTTGTAAAAATGCAAGTGTTTACATAGCTTTATTTTGAATACTTAAATACTTTGCATTTTAAAATCAACTTCTAAATGTCTGTTCAGTAGTCCCTATAACATGACAATTTTAATTTGTGGTGCTTCTAGTTAAGTGATAAAAAGCAGTTGCAAATGTTGTACAAAATAAATATCACCACTACACATCTTTGCACCAATAAAATGTAAAAACACTGTTTTTCTACCAAATTATATGTAATATCTAATTATTATATTAATATTTAACTTGCATTGGAAAGGTTTCCGTGACCTCTCGCGAGATCTCGGCAAAAAGTCTCACGATTTATTTCCAGAACATGATGCATGATGGGATACACTAAGCCTCGAATAGCGCTCTGGAGCGGTATTCGAGATAGTGTGGATTTAGTGTGCGTTAAGGACACTGTGCTCTGCCGTTTTTAAGACCTGGGACAGTCTTGCGCACTTACTTCCTGTCGCACGCACGCGCTCTCAAGTGGCCAAGACCGCAAGTGTGGGTATTTGGACAAGGGGTGAGGGTAAGGGATAAAGTGAACAAGTAGAAAACTTAGAACTTATAATCAACTTAGTAATATTATCAACTGAAGGCAACTCAAATTTAGAAAGAACACTTGTTTACCAAAATACTTTATTGTATGCATCTGGATGATCATTAGACATTGAAACAGATTGCAGTGCTTCAGTCCAAAAGAAGTGAAATAAAAAGCGCCTATCCATAAAAAAAATTCTCTCACACGGCTCCGGGGGGTGAACAAAAATCCTCTTGGCTTATATCGAAATCCTCCGACATTCTTCTTTACAAATCCTCATTTAGAACTTCTAATTCTTGACTGTTGTTTTGTTTTGATCTCTCCCCTGAGCTTCCCCGTTCGTCACTTCTGAGCGGTGCATGCGCAACGCCGACGTCTTACGTCATGCGCCCGGAACTGCTTCCGTGTACAATAGTACACGCAAGTTAGCGCAAGTTCATATACACCTAGGATGCCTCGGGGGTGAGTAAAACACAGCCTAATTTTTTTTTTTTCGTGAACTAACCCTTTAAGTAATTCTTGAGGTATACTGTCAATCTTAGACCTAAGAAAATTAGAAAAGGATACACATTGATTGGGAGAAAGTGAATCAATATCAGAAGGGTTCAACAGTTTGTTAACAGTGCTAAATAAGTCTTTGTGTAATTCTGTCCATTGTCTATGGCATTTGCATAAAAAGATGATTTTGCACTTTTAAGTGCAGCCTTGTACGAGATCAGATGCTCAGAATACAACTGTTTGTGTACTTCAAGTTCTTTTGCATAGTCTCTCCAGCCTTTTGGTGACGGAGCTCAGAAGTATACCAAGGGGAAGAGTAAACAAATGATACAGTACGAGTTTTCACAGGAGCCATTATTTATTATTAATTATTATTATTTGAGAATAATAATTCTCAGATAAGAGGTTTACAGAATGGTCAATCATTCCATCCAAAACATTAAGGTCAATATATTTTATATTTCGAAATAGAACAGAACATTGTGGTTTAGCTTTTGTTAAAGGAACAGTAATTTTAAAAAATACCGGCTTGTGTTCGGAGATAATGCAGTAGAAGAAAAATTAAAAGGGATAACACCAGAACAACATACTAGATCTAAAATATGACCTTTGTTATGTGTTGGAAATTTGAAAAACTGCACAAGATCAGCACTATCCAAGACTGATTTAAAATCATTATATTTAGTGCTAGTAGTATTGTAATAATGAATATTAAAATCTCCAATCAACATGATATTTCAAAATTCAGTAAGAAAAGTAGGGAAA